TCGAAATTGTTCTGGATGAACTTGCATGGATGTTTACTCAAAAGGGGTTAAGGAACAAACATATGGACACGACCAGATGACCACTGTTCTTTTGTAATAATGATAACCATGGTTAGTTACTGCTGCATAGTGGTAAATTCTAAATACATTATTTTGGGATGGATAATGATAACTTTGTGCTGTTCAATGTTATATAAATCATTTAGACACATATTCATAATGAAGTGCCCATAATCAGCTCACTAGGCCATCGTATACTTAGATATTGCATTGATTAGAATACTCGCGCCATTTAATAATTTAAAGTTTAAAGCGGATAATCGTGACTTTGTTTTATTATCGTACAAAGGGTGTTGACAATACTCCCAACTTTGCACAGAACAAAGTAATTTTTAATATATTCATGTCTCATCATCTATTTTTGAATTATTATGGCAGAAACGTCCAGCTCGAAAAGATGCTTCAAATCCTTCTCAAAACATTGTCTTCGCGAGGAAATAGCGAGGAAATCTATTTAAAGAAGCCATTTTTGTAACACGTTACTTGACGATCCAGGAAACTAGCCAAGGAAGCCACGCCGAAGAAGAATTCATTGCATATAAACGACATGTTGTCTATTTGCCATAAATATCGAAGTCTAAGTAAATTATGTGATTATCCCCTGCCCGCTTCCTTTTCCGCATTTTAGTCTGTTTATTCACTATCATTTTTATCAACATATACATTAAGAGGTCAGATAATCCACGCGTGCAACTTTTGACGTCACTCAAGTAGACAGCCCTAAACGTCAGGCTGACAATTAGTGACACCCTCTCATTTTTGTCCTGTGCGCTCTTCATGAATGTTTTTCAGGGAATCCAATAATTTTTTTTAGTAAGATTGGGTGTCTCATCTTCCCATATATACCAAAATTGGCATACTTTTACTGGAAATGACCACCAGATTAATATTTTTATGGGAATGCATCTTTAAGACATTATTATAATATTTGGTTGTACCGGAATACGGCTTACTATAGATCAGATTATTTATGATTTCCTGGTATAGCAGGGTGGCGTTACATATTCCATATCTGTTGTTTGATTTTACTTCCTTGTATATAGGCTACTTAATAACAATAACTATTTATACTTGACTCATATTAGGATATGGTGACATAATATCCTGTACAAATTAATTATAAACCCACCGAATACGCCCTTTTGTGAAATAGGTTTTGCCCTTCTGCATCGACTGCTAACGAAGACGGGCAAACGCCATGCAGTGTGCTATGGGGAAATTGTGATCGGACAGCGGCGCCATGGCCTATAGTCTTACCAGTCATTGCCAATTCCAACTATCAAGCGTGCCTTTTCGTCCCATTCAACAATAAACAATTCCGGGAGCGAACCCGGCTCTCCGCCCGTTGAGAATGTGTAGCACCGACGTTATTCTGGATGCCCCGAGTCGTGTGCTACTTGCGTTTTAACAGCATTCTCAATTTTAAAAGTATTAAAAATACATGTCCATGGCACATTACGAATAAATGTCCATAGCTTATTTCGAATACATGTCCAAAGAATATTTAGTATACATGTCCAGAGATTATTCAAAATACATGTCCATAGAATACTGGGAATTACTGATTATGTATTTGATACAACCAATAATAGTCAGTCCAGAAGTCAAGATTTTGTAAATCCTTGTTGGCCGATGCGCTTCAAATGTGTAGTCTCGAACGTAATCTGTGAGACATGGTAGCACGGTTAGCATAGCGCTGGAGAGCGGACACGTACTAAAACCGGTCGCCATATCCTACGTACGACCCATGCATCTTTTCTTACTACATATCTTAGTGGCCTTGTGATCGTCTAGAATTTGCCTCTAGCTGTCTTTACTTCTGCTTCACGTTGTGTATTTACTTCTTTCTGTTTTCTTAAGACGTTTGTCTTCTCAGTAGTTATAACAATGCAACTGTTCGTTTTTACATTTTATATATCAAGCTGGATACATATAAGCGTAGTATAGATTACAATACTAAAGTCATTCTCAAAGCCTAGCCAGCCAAACTCGATATGGGCGGGTCTGCTGATAGAAATCGTTACATCTTTTCCCTTCCAGAATCTGTCTGTTGTCTAGGAACTCAGATGGTAAACTCTCCGGAATCTAATTAAAGTCTGCCTTAAAGTTTACTATGATTTCTTTGATAGGACTCATGGATACCATGCACAGAAAAGCCTGTTCATAGCCTTGAACCTGTGCAATTTCTGATATGATTGGTTAAATTAAGCCGAATGACGAATTTAGTATATTTCCACTCACATGTAATCTGGTAACATGTTGTTGACACATACAACCAGCTATGTTTTGGTTCTGTAACTCTTTTTATGTGTCAACCCGTCAATTATTAACTAAGTTGATTTAAGTACAATTAAGTTGCGTTTTAAATAGACTCATACCATAGCTAATATACTGACAATAGAGAATAATTTGTAAAGATACAAATATCATTTAAACCATCTCATATCTCTATTCCTTGTCTATAAATTTAAAAACAATGTCGCAACAACGATATTACTACAGATCATTTACCATTGGATGGGGGTGGGGTTGGAGCGAGTTGAACCTGGTGTCGACCGAGTACTTCCTCGGGGTTGTCAAGCCTGGTTCCCTCTTGTCAGCCAGCGGTGCACGAAGAATGACCTGACAAAAAAGCATCAAATCATTCGGATGGAACGGACGGGGTGTTAACTTTGGTGTGTACCTAAACGTACCACTGACAATTGTAATTCGATGAAAAATAGTGTCATGTTACATTATAGACAGAAAAAACCCCTGGGCATTATTTGAGAGCATTGCAAGTACCGGAGTTTAAAGAGAATTTCTATATTAAAGTAATTTGCATTTTTCGCTAAAATATCAAATTACTTACTGACTTAATCTACGCTAATGTAGACAAGAAATGAAATCGGGTTTAACGTCCTAATGTTCTGATGTTAATATGTAATCTGACTGATTATTAAACATTGAATAAAGAAAACAAAATCAAAATAACAACGCTAGATAACCTCCCGGCTTTGATTCGATAAGATTCAAAACCTGTCAATCAATTATGTTCGCCCACAACAAAATGGCGATAGGCTTATTCCATAGCGAGCAGCATACATCAATGAAATTTCAATTCAACATATAATTTTTGTAAACGGAACTGTACCATTTGTGTCAAATTGGTGATTGTCAACAGGATATTGTGGCTTGCACAGTGGGAAGCGATGGTGGGAAAGGCGCTGGCTCGCCTGTCTGAGATTTTCCGGCGGGGTTTCCCAATTTCAGTGGTGCCTGACAAAGACAGCTATCTAGTCATTCGGATGGTACGAAAACCCGAGGTTCCGTGTACACATTGGCGTGCACGTAAAACATAACTTGGTAAGTTGGAATATAAGAGTAGGCCGTAGCGCCGCTGTCCGGGGAAAACTTCCCTCATAGCACACTGTATGACGTATGCCCGTTTTCATTAGCCCAGTCGGAGCAGAACAGTAAAACGTTAAACCCCATTTCGTTTGTGTATATAAGAAGTATTGCCTCTTTAACGCTTACACAAGCTGTGTGTTATTACGTTATTCCAATTAAGTTGATATGATAACCTAGTGATAATAACAGTATTGTTTATTGCAAATCGTTGCCGAGTAATGCTTTATATCCTTTTATATTTGTGATAAGTGTCTCTAATCAATACGTATAGACAGTAATGCGTCAATATCCAAAGGGATAAAATGTCAAATTAGACGTAAAATATAAGTGTTATAAAAATATTCAAATTCTTCTGTCACTTACATAATAGTTTCTACTGATTTTCCACCTCTGGGCCGAGCTCTTCAAAATAATTGTAAGCTATGTTGGCAAATCGAAATTCCAGCCGTTTCCTTGATGCGCCAATTTCGGAAACAACAGGCACATTCTTTGCGGGGACTAAACTTAGGGTTGCAAAAATGTTTAATTTGATCATACCGTTACATCGGACATGTCCGAATTAACATGTAAGCAAACCTTTAGGTGAAACTACTGAGCTATCGCTGCGATATAAACGTTGTAACTGTCAGTTTAATAAGGAAATTCGCGCAAAATATCTTGCTTTCGATATTATTGAAAATGGATGACATTCATTGCCCTTTTTAAGCCGACTATTGCAAGTCTACTGACACCATATTATAATCGGGTATTTTTGACGTATTTGAATTTATTCTCAGACATCATTCAGCAGCAAGGGTTTACACAATAAGTATTAGAGGTTATTAAGGGCTTGATAATCGGCTTGTCACACGGTCTATTCTAGGGCAAAGCCGCGTTAGGGTCTGGTTCAAATAAATTAGATATGGACCCTCTATTGAAGGAAACCAAGGGTTATATGCATATTTTGGTCACATAATCATTTACAGGCTAATTCATGTATTTTTATAGTCCAGTAATATGTCGATTTGTGTGTGGAGATAAAAATAGAGGCTTTATAGTTATTCGAATATTGTATAGAACGATATTCATCAACACATTTTCTTATCACATAATGACGTATACCCACTCAAAACAGACAGACAGAATCAGTATCTGGTCGCGACGGTCGTTAGGCAGAATTCTATGTCCACTTCTGGAAAACTTTGTAGATGACCGGTTTATGTCTGAAACTATCTTTTATAATGGTTCATATTAAATAGAGCTATAGTAGTATTGGACACAGCTATGGGAGATTCTGGTTATTCATCCAAAAGGTGCAACTCAGATCATCTTATTTAACAGCAACAGGAACAGGAAAAACCCGAAACGATTCTCACAAAGTTTGAGGTGTTTTGACACCCAAAAATTAAAACATCTACAGTTCATCCGGATCAGATGAAGTTTTAAAAGCAGACATTAAGAAACATTTCCACGTGTCAATTCATAATTTGAAAACAAAAGTTCATTGAGGTACTAATAAGGAAAATACTACCATAATGGATAACGACAGTCTTCATATTATTGTTGATAATATGACCATTGACAAGATATCGTTTACACTATCAAACAACGATTTTTTACCAAGTCCTTTACCGTTGCAAATACGAACTGCGTTTAAGGTGGTATATAGTCTTATCATATTATTGGCTGTTATTGGTAATGTCACTGTCATCGTTGTTGTAAGTGCAGCTAGAACCAAGTTAACAGTGACGGATATGTATATATTGTCACTAGCTGTGGCGGATTTGTTAATTTCGCTATTAAACATGCCGTTTCAACTGAATTTCTTTATCACAAATGAATGGAAGATGGGTCTATTTTTGTGCAAATTTTCGAACTATATACAAGGAGTGGTTGTTACAGCTAGTATACTAACATTAACCGTGATTGCACTGGACAGGTAAAATAATTTTTATTGATCAACATAGATGTTTAGATGTCAAAAATCACCCTTTTTGTGCCAATTCCTTTTTTTAAAAAGACTAATTCGGTAAAAGTTCCAAGTTCTCATTGGATCTTTAATTTCTGTTTCCAGAAATATTCTAGATTTGTACCCCTAATTCGTGTTTAATAAAATAAATCAAATCCCAGATCTTGCTCAAATAATGTTGCTGACCGTTTTTAGGTTGTGGAGAACAAGATATCTCAAAATATTTGGCTTAAACACACATTATGCAAATGCTAAATCTGTCTATTGCAGGTCTTTCTTTAGGCCTGAAATCTTTTCTATATTATTAATTAGACATTAATTAACCTGTCCAGACCATAATGAACTCTAGATGGCATCGCTAGCTTGCGAACTTTAGTGGATTATGAGCCGATTTACTGCATAACTTTCCTTCACGATTTAACGAATAATCGAGACTATGCTGTTTATCGTACTGACTTCAGTATTGATGATCGAGACTAGGTGGAAATTTCAATCGCTTAGTTCTCGGTTCATAGTGGATCAAACTGAATTAAATTTTCATAATTGAACTGCCAACTCGTTACCGAATCTCTTATAAGTATCGTCATAACAAATTTCATTCATACATAATATTGGTAACGAGCTAGTGTCCTGTCACTTTTGTCGATTTGTGTATATGCCGAGGCCAACCACTTAGGATCTACGCTTATTCGTCGGTAGTTTTCCATTCCATTATCTTTGGTTTGCTGTAAACTCTATTAGCACAACAGATTGCCCGGACGCTTCAACGTTCGCATATGCGCTACTAGTAAGCAGGTCATCCACGACAAATCACCCGGGTCGATAAAATATGTTTCTAAATGCACGCTTTTAAACCATAGATTGTTTATTAAGATAACGAGGAATCGGTATTGTGTTCTGAGTGGGAATATTTTTCGCAGTAGATTGTCACCGACGAGAAATCGGGCTGTATAAGCGACAATTAATGGATGCATGTTTGCATGTGCGCTGGTATCTATGCCATCACTAAAATAACACGTCTATTGTCAGGTGAATGGCATTGAATTACGCTTGTAAAAAGATTACAGATTCATATTACCACATTTGATGAAATTAAATGAAATGGGGTTCAACGTCCTACTGTTCTGCTAATGCAAACGGGCATACTGGGCTAATGAAGACGTGCATACGTCATACGCTGTTATATGAAGGAACTTTGGTCCAGACAACGGCAAAATGGTCTACTCTTATCTCGAATTTCAACTGTCAAGGGTTATTTACAGGGCACGCCAATGTGTTCACGGAACCCCAGTTTTTCGTCCCATCGAACGACTATACATTGTCCCTTGCCGGGCCCTACACATTTGATAAACATATATGTATGTGATCTAATATGTACCTATTATATGTTATATTAATCAACACTTGACAATATATATATTTTATTCACTTTCGTTTTCTCATTGATTATCCCTGTGTAGGCCGATAGAGCTGCGGCCTTGTGTCCACTTGTCGGGGGTGCAAAACACCCTGGTATGGAAATATCATCTAGTAATTCGGATGTTATAAAAAAAATGTGCACTCTATGGCGTGCACGTAAAGCATCCATTGGCAATTGGAATTCGATGAATGGTGGTCAGAAACGCCGCTGACCGGACACAATGCCACGCATAGCACACTGCATATTATATTTCTATCTTCGTTAGCTCAGCTGGTGCAGAAAATAGGACGTTAAAACTCATTTTATTTCGGCAAACCGGATTATCTATCTCATGCCATTACATTCTTTTGGCTTTACAGGTATTTCGTGATATGCCGTCAACAACTATCCAAGAAAGTTCACACCAAGAAAGTTGCATGTGTTGCCATTTTGTCATTGTGGATACTTTCACTTCTTATTGTTTGTCCACAAGTAAGAGCTGAGCAGCTTGACATAGTGCTTAAACTCGACTACTCCACCCATACGCCCGAAGGCATCGCGCAACTGTGTCGGGAACACTTTGAGAGGCCGGAAGTTGTTACGATTGCTGTTTACGTCATCGTCTACGTAACACCGCTCATCATAATGATATTATCATACGGGGCGATTGCTCATCGGCTGTGGATTCAACATCCGATAGGAGATATGTTGGAGAACCCACGAAATCACGAGCGAAGTGTAAAGCAGAAGAAAAAAATTATACAAATGCTGATGCTCCTGGTTTTGGCATTTGCTGTCCTTTGGTTGCCGTTCTTTACCGCCCAGCTTGTGGAGGAGTATGTGGAAATGGAAGAAACATTCCGTACCAGACAGGCCGTACTACAACTCATCGGATACACCAACTGTTGCGTCAACCCGATCATCTACACTTTCCTTAACAGTCATTTTCAGAGAGAGTTCAGGAGTTTGTGTGCTAGACGTAGATTGCCCCATATTACCCGACCACGTCCACGCTCTGTTAATAGAACAAACACACTAGAAATATGTGTAATATCAAACAGAGTACCATAAAAGGTGCCGACAGATTGTTAGCTCATTCAAGGATATTACCCACAATAACATGTGCCCTACGCCAACAATTTTATAATATATTCACAAACTTTCAACAATGATTATTTAATATCCTCCTATTTATATGATGAAACATTTTTAAAGTGTGAAATGGACACAGACCTTAAAGGGCGACTAGCACTAGTCTTTGGAACCTTAAATAAACGGAAATAGTACTAAAAGTACACATTTATATACTATTAGTGTATTTAAAGGATTTATAACCATTTTTTTTTTTTTTTTTAAATATTAGTATTAAATTATGTTCGGTAAAATTTGAAATTCAAAGGTTGTTACTTGCGCCTGTTTAGTCTATGTTACATGATTTTTTTTTTGGGGGGGGGGGGTTGTATCATATAAAATCCAATCGGCCTCGCTGTGCAGTAAGTCTTTATCTTATGTTTGAAAGATTTTGAAGTATTTATTTGAATGGCTACACACTACAACCACGGGAAACACTAGGGGTACGAAATGCAAAAGAGCCTGATATTTCTTTTATCATCAACAATAAACCGCCCCTTTTAACCTTGACCTTCAAAATATTGGAAGGAGCAAAACCAGAAAGGGTCGGGACTTACATCTGCCTCGCTGTGCAGAATCTATCGAAATCGACCTGTCTCAGTTTCTTACGCTTACCGTCTCTTTGATCCAGGCCTTCCCTAAAACTTTGGACAATCGATTCAATATATTTAAATATATTTAACCCTACTGATACGATGATGCCCTATAGGCAGTGGCGTAGTCATCCTGGGTATCCCTACTGGGATATAACTACGGGGTCGAAGGAGTCATCAGGGATTACTGGCGTGGAATCCCCTTGAAGTAGCACAGAACTGGGTTTCTGGCAAAGTCATTCCGACGGTACAAACAACCTAAGCCCCGTATACACATTAGTGGGAACCTAAAAGAACCCTTTTAGAATTCGAAATAAGGTCTCTGTCGGGGCAAAATTTCCCTCATAGTACACTGTAGGATGTCATTAGCCCAGTCATCAAAATAGTTTTTTTTTAAATGTCTAAAAGATATCGCAGACTGTGAGACTTATTTAATACGAACAAAAATAGTTTGCCCCCTAATATGCTCCCTTTCCCAATTACACAACATTCGTAATCTTTATCAAACTATAGGAATGTACAGCACATGAGGTCTTGGGCGCCTACAAGTTTGGGATTGAAAGAGCTTATGATCTAAAGCCTACGTGTTAGACCACCCAATATATGCAATAAATAATAACAAATTTTTGAATGGTTTTATTATAAATGTTTAGAATGGTTATCACCCATATTCACCTATATTATCAAAATATATGTGTTATTAATCAGCAAATCTTGATCGAGTTTGGAATCTAAATTCATAAGGAGCAGTGTAATGAATTATTTTATATTTCCTGTGTTATTTTCATATTTTGGTCCACGTTTAGCAGTTATGTATTCTAGTTGGTCCATAGAAAAAAAATGAATTTAATTTTATACAAATTGTGATTGTGATACAGTAAAAATAAAGAAATGTCTACAATAGATGTAACAATAAGTAAAAACTAAGAAAGCTTTGATAAAATCATATAATATACAGGTCACAATTCTATGGAATACAATTACTGCTTTTTAATGAGCGACGTTTCGACTAGGCTTCTCTAGTCATTATCAAGCTATGATAAAAAATGCTTTTCAGGCATTTTTGCTTTTCAGGCCTGCGGTTATTGTAATTTAATGCACTCTGGAGCTTTCAAGCCAGCAAGAGTGTTATTGTCCCTTTAAGACATTGCGTAATATATTGTAAAAACATTCGTGCCTACGGTCTTCTTGTTGTTACAATATATTACTTAATGTCTCGCTCTCGACCATTAAACAATACATAATTATATATAAAAATCGTATTATATCTTATAACAGAATAATAATTAATTCAATTTTTAAACGTATGACTTTCGGTTCCTCCATGACAAAATCCTGAAAAAAGTTTTTGATATAAAGACAAATTCTACTACGTCTATCACAACCCCGCGGGGGTTCACGGTGGCTAAGCTCGCTAGCCTGGAGGTCGGGTGTTTGATCCCTGCATTGGCCGAGAAAATTCATTCAGTTTCAAAAAAGTTCTATAAAATGGGTCTAGTTGTAAAGTCACACATTAGTAAAATTTGAATTAATATGGATAAAAAGCCGCCTTCCCGCTTCTAGAATGTGCCAGTTTTCATAAACGAGTCGTCGCAAGTTTGAATTACTTTCTGTTCGCGCCATGAAATTTATCAACCACTATTTACACCTGATGCATATCATTAAAACAAACAACCAATCAAGAACACTCTAGATAATATTATGCGCCAATTTGACCTCAAGTTCACAGGTCAAAAGGCGAGTGTTTACTTTGAGATGATGAAGTGCCTTATTCACCTCGTAGACAAAGATTGTGGAAAGCTGATTAAGGTTGTTTTAAGTTTTAAAGAATGGATTAATCTTGATGGAAACGAGCTAAAAGTGTGCCAACAATATAAAGATGTATTTGAGGGTAAGTTTATCAACTAAATCAAACTAAAATTGAAAGTAGAGTCGCCATTTTATTTTTCCGCGAAACACAAAATTTTTTGTTGTTTACATTTTAAATTAAATTCTATAATGATAGGCGGATTAAATTTTATAGACACCTGTACTCATCACAAATGCTCGGGACTGTACAACGCAACGGGAGCTTACGTCCGTATATAATATTTCTTGTATGTTGTCATTGTTGTGTGCAAGTTACGATAAATAATAATAATGTTTGTTGACATTCACATTGTATAGTCTCGTTATATAGTTCATAGATAGGTTTGTTTTAAAATCGATAGCATTCACGCTAGCCTTTGGTTTTATTTTATTAACCCCATATTGTCTAAGTGCCTTTTCACAAATCAAGTGCAAACAGGTGGCAGTGTCTTATTGTTTTTCATAAAAGAAAAGTAATTTTTATTATGGATATTTGTTGCCACCTAAATTTTTCTCTCAGGTTCTAGTTTGCTTATTTTGTTTATGTGTGCAATAATATTAAGAGTATGTTTGTATTTATAGGGAATAAAGATGATGCACTACCGGTTTATGGCTATCATTCCAAGTGTTATTCGAGATTCACAGACAGAACAAAGATTGAACGAGCTACTAAAAGAGTTGCATTACAGTCTGGTGAGAAGCAAACGAGTGATGAGAGTCAATCCACGTCTAGGCAAGGTTTGCGATCAGCCGCCACTAAATCATCAACCACCCAAGCTGTTCACCTGCGATAACATGTCTTGCCTCCTGTGTGCATTATCTGCAAAAAGTACCTTTGTTCTACAGGTGTCAGAATAAGACTGTCTCTGATAAGCTGGTTTTAGCAGAAACTAAAGATGGGGGTAAGTTTTTATTATTTGTTCAACCGTTGTGATTTAATATTGTCCCCCACCCTCCTTTCCTGGCGATGCCCAGTGTTAGGTAGTGGAATAGGTCCATAGCCCCTCCTCATCGTGTCGTAAAAGGCGTTTATTGGGGAGAGTGTTCGGGTGGCCGATGGGTGTTATCTATCAGTCTATCATCAATAGAGTCGAGGGTTCGAGTCTCGTTCTCTGCGATCTCAGTGACAAGGTGTGGGAGTAGCCTATCCGAACACGCAGGGTTATGTATTTACCCCTGCAGCGCAAGTACTCCCAGCGCACAAACAGATAACATGTGGATTGGTGCAAATTGACCAGATTTACGGTGTCGACGTGCCATAAAACAATATTCATTCATTCATTCATTAGCTTTCCTGGCTATGTCACTGCAATAGGTTCAACCTCCCTGAATTGGTCTGTTATCAATGGGGTTGAGAGATCCAATCACATTCTCGATGACCTCAATGACAAAGTACAGTATTAGTAGTCTATCTGTTCATGTATGGGTTTTCAGGGTTTCCCTGCTGCGCAGGTTCTCCCAGCAAGTGAACAAATCATATGATTGGTGCAAAATAACCAGAATATGGTGTTGATATGACATAAAACAACCTTCATTCATTCCTCCCACATGTACCAGGTCTGCCAAAAGTTGTCTAGTTCATTGTTATAAGTAGGCTGCTCCATACAAAGCCTATTATACACATAAAAACTGTTGCATAAAGAATTTTGGTTTTTTTTTTATTTATGCATATGTAACCAGAAAACGAATATGCATTCTACTTCTAGTTGGTTTATGATATCCATGATATTTACAAATTTCCATATCTTTTTAGGGCGACTTAGAGAAGCAGCAATTAAGAAAGAAGATGAAACCATTCTCAGGCACATCAGAGATAAAGACTGTGTTGCTGTTGAAGTTAGGTACCATGTACGATGTACTTTCTCAGCTAACACCAGGATCGAATATGGGACCTCCATGTTAGCGAGCCATCGCCTTACTCACTAAGCCACCGCGGCCCCGGGGTTATTAGCAATTATGAACAACTATATGATACATTTATAATAAGATACGGGAATTTTCACAATAACCAATTTTATTCTTTGAAAAATATTTAATAAACAAATTTCACAATGATAAAACATTTTAGAAGTCAAGCATCTTGGGATCAAGTTCCGCTCCCTTTGCAACCCCGCGTGCGAGAACCATACACTAGTCACTTCATTTTCGTTCTGTGTAACCGGTGTGTATCGATCATTGAATCAAGTATGGGGAAATGTGTAGCACTGTTTGAAATAATATTATTATTTGCGTGTTGTACTTATGCACTTGTACTTATGCACTGATTTGAATGTCTTGACAAGAACAAGAAGCACACGTGGTGTTATTAATGAATTTAATCGAACAGTCATCATCAAAGATTAGGATGTGAACTTAAAAAAGGAAATAGTGTATAATATTTTCCAATTAGTTTTAATTTTTATGTCATTTTCATATTTTGATCCATGATTAGCAGTTATGTATTCTAGTTGGTCCATAGAAAAAATGAATTTTATTTAAAATATACAAATTGTGATTGTAATACAGTTAAAATAAAGAAATGTCTACAATAGATGTAACAATAAGTAAAAACTAAGAAAGCTTTAATAGAATGATATAACATAATAATTATATATAAACATCGTATTATATCTTATAACAGAATAATAATTAATTCAATGTTTATGGCTTTCAGTGCCTCCATGACCAAATCCTGAAAAAAAAATAACAATGTTGTTTGATTTACACAAATATTTACAACTTATGGGAGATAACTCGGAAGGTTTTGATAGCGTGTCAGTTCATTAATACGAATGCCGTGCCCGTCTGAATCGATGAAATGGGCTTGAATTTACACATTCTGGTTTGGGTGAACATTAATGACCTATAGTCTTAATTTACAGCTCCTGTAATATTATTGTCCATATGGGCCGTCATTTGTCACTACTTTAGATATAAATCAACATGTTTGCTTATGTTTTGAGCATGAGGATACTTAATTTGTGTCAGTTATAAACAACATATCAAAATATTTTAATGCAACTACAAACAAATAGCCAAATTCTGACTGAGATTACTGAGCGCAATGGTGGATCATTGCATTCGTGAGAAAATGAAGCTAGCTATCCCTTGGGTTTCGAGCGACAGTTTCGTATGGCTACTGAGATGTTGAAAATTAATTGTGGTCTGTCTCCATACAAATGTGCCATCATTGTTTTTTTTTTGGGCGTCTATAATTGATGAAATTACATATATTCTAGTTAGTTTTGGTAAATATCAATGACTTTGAGGCTGAAGAAACTGGGGTAAAAACACCCATCAGAAAAAATCCAAGAATTCAAGATACAATTAACATTTTCGCTAGGGTATTATTTGATCTCAGTTTTAAAACTTCTAGCTAGTCAATTACCTTCAAGATTTTTATTACCAGATAATAATGTCATGTAGGGCTCGCAAAGTGGTATGTCGATTAAAAAATGAAGGATGGTTCGTCATCTTATGAAATGTACTTCATCGAAAGCAATACTATAGATGTTAAAAATCACAAACATAGTCATGATATCAATGGGAATTTATCTTTGTAACTGACGAGAGTAAATGGGGACTTACCTCCAGGCCCAAATAAGGCAGCATAACATGGTCTATTACAATAAGGTTTACCCTCATGCTGTAAAATAATGATAATATCCTCGTAATGATTTATTCATGAAAGTCATGTGATATTTTTTTATATAAATAAGCGGTTGCCATGCAAATAAAAGTTGTGTTTTCTAGAGGTCTCACGAAGTAAAATCGTGGAAGTTACGGTCCGATACGTGCAAAAATCGAACTAATTCGAGGACCTTGGGATACAAAGATATTATTATTTCAAGTTTCATCGTATGTAGCACCACCACATAAAAACACTAATTTTTGTACAATAAGAGGCTATAATCCATTAAGTTATACGTGACAAAATCGAACACATCGAAATCGGATAAAAACTGTGAACTATAGTGTCCCAAAACAGATGTAGACGGACGGGGAGGACGACATAAAACGTCCATACGAAGATCCCTTCAGTATGGTAAAAAAAAATTAAAATGTGCCATGCATGCACAACGAAAGTAAATTCTTTAAAATAAATGGAAAAAAAACAAATTAAGCAGTATTTGAGATAATATCTGATTTCTCTCAGCCAAAATGTACATTCATAATATCAATACTTTATGCATTTATAACTTCTTTATCGAGTATCTTCATCAAGCAATGTAATCTAATTGATTATTTAACATGTACATGTAATTAAAAAAAAAACACCAAATCTCTCGACATATACTCAATCACATTTTTGAAAAATAAATTCTGGTGATATTCTTATCACAATATTATAGGACTATCAAAGTGGCATTAAAATAAAATAAATTGAAATTTGTAGAAATATGATTACCGCAGCATGAGAACCTGAAATTAAAGTTTGTTTTTTACATTTTTCACATCTTAAACAAAGTCGATGCCAATCTTTAACGTCACTTTCATAAAGTTTCATAAAACGTTGGTTGAAATTTGGATGAGTCTTTGCTAGGAGTTGCCAGTGCCGCATATGTAGCCAACAATTTGTGTATTTGCTTTTAAGCATGATCAACGAATACTTGTAGTTGTAAATACTAACAGGATTGATCAATTTTAGAGATACAACTATCACAATATTATAGGCTTAATTTGAAAGGGATTCAAATGATGATAAGTGGCATTAAAATAAAATAAATTGAAATATATGGAAATATGATTACCTCAGCATGACCACCAGAACTTAAAGTCTTGCTACATTTTTCACATTTTAAACATGGTCGGTGCCAATCTTTACCCATAGACGACACTTTTTCAGCTGAAAAAAAAAATAACATTCATAAAATCTCCCTGCGTTAAAATTAGAATGATGTTGAAAGGCAGTTCTATAGTTCTCCGGCTTTGAAGTGTTCTAAATATAGTCTCGATTGCCAAGTACCATTGTTACGATAATAAACAAAAGTTTCGATTATCCATTTTTAAATTGAATTATTAAATGGCGATTCAGTCCATTGAATATCGCAACAACTCAAATATCTAGAGAGTTGATTATGGGCTTGTCATGTGAATAAATGTCTAATTAATAATTAGCTCTCACATAATGCATATTTAACAACGTTTAGTGTGGACGCTGGATGTTAGGTTTTAGTGTTTGATGAAAACCATTCGAATTAATAGTACAATTTCTTAATGTTTGAATGTAGTTAATGTGTGTATGTGGTTAATGTGGTTTATAGGTAACCTGCCAATTCTAAAATATATTATGCTATATGGTTTGGTATAAAATGCATACATGACTTGATTATCTTAAGCAACAAAACTCGTTTGATCATACTATTACTATAGGCATGGCAGCATTTTATACCAATTTCATATCATACACGCTCTATACATGTATATTAGATTACTGGCAACTATTCTACAATATGATTTTGTCCGTTGTTCAATCCAAGTCAGTTTATTAGATACAAGCATTCTAAATCTTTCTATCAAGAATTTTTTTTTGTTGAAACTTAATCCATAAAGTTGCTCTTAAGTTTAGGCCTACACATAATAACATAAGAGACATTTTATTCGGCATCATTACTAGTGTCAGGTTAGATCTACCAACCATTGAAATTTACTTACACATAATAGTGTGGAAACTAAACCTCTCTGATTTACATTCAACGTTGTCACGTTGGCATCATTGTCAGTAGAAGTTCATATCTACGAAGGAAATGAAATGGGGTTTAACGTCCTACTGTTCTGATCCTATACTTGGCTAAAAGACGGGCATACGCCATACAGTGTGCTATGAGGGAAATTTTGCCCGGGAAGCGGGACTATCGCCTACTCTTATATCGAATTCCAACTGCCAAGGGATCTTTTACGTGCATTCCAATGTATACACGGGACCTCGGGTTTTCGTCTCATCCGAAGGACTAGACAGCTGTCCTTGTCAGGCCCTCCGTTCTGCACCACTGACAAGGGGAAACCACGTCGGAAAATCCAATGCAGGGATCGAACACCCGACCTCCAGGCTAGCGAGCCAGCGTCTTAACCATCTAGCCACAGTGGCTCCCATCTTAGAAGGAATTTACTTACACATATGTGTAAAAACTAAAACTCCTTCCTTTGCTAAACTCTGGTTTTACATTCAACGTTTTCACGTGAGATCAAGAGTGGTGACCTTTATTTGTGTACAGTTGTTTCAAATGGATTCAATCCCTGTAACACCTAGAAGTCATTTTACACGATCATACATTTGTTCCAAAACATTTATGATGATTTTCCCAATTGTTTAAGGGCAAGGTAAAGTGAAAACAATCTTCTTGCAAACTAGAATAAAGATGTCTTATACTATGGTCTTTATATAATTTTTGAGGGTCAAATTCTTTTCTATGGAGTACCATTTGCAACACATGTTTTCCAATCAATCATTCAGCAGGACAATTCCACATTCAATAGTGGACTATTGGTGAACAATCTAACATAGATTAACAACTGTAGTTGTTGTTCTTGGTGTTTAACGTCCGCTTCCATTGGAGGTGATATCGCAGACAAGTCTTGTTTTTCATTTTTATTATCTTAGTGCACGGGTAGGGGTCTTTCCTGTGGGAGGAAACCGGAGTACCGGGAGTAAACCCATGAGGTTCAGAAGGCGCCCCTATCTCCAAGCCACATACGCTCACACCAGGTATCGAAACCACAGCCGCAAGCCAGAGGTGACCGGCCAGCTAGAGACCATCCCAAATCCCCAGATTAACAACTGTGTTGAGTGTGAATAAATATTGCATACAGTGTATTGCAAAAAAGATTTCTTTGTAAATATGTCCAATGTTTAATTTGACAGTCTATCCTTTTGCTTCCAGACACAATTCGAAGGGTGAATTAAGACGTCATAAAAATATTAACAATGTTTATTCAATATAAAAAGTACCTCAATACAAAATCAGTTTCAAGGAACTTGTAATGGTGTATTTACTATTTTCCATATAGACCTTAATCCAGATGGTGTTTGGGATGGTACTCCATACAAAAAGACTAAAAGTAGTCCCTTGAAATAATGGAGGATATTAGAAAAAAAATAGTTTGATTATATCGACTTGGTGTGCTACAACAAAGATAGTTTTCAAAAGTCTTGTTGGTTGTAATGTATATATTCAGGCATCTCTGTGATACTCTGTGATTTCCCATGTTATGTAGTTTACCCTGTATTTGCTTCATATTC